ACATATGTACCCGCTACATCAATGCTTCATGTTTCGATGCCTATCAAAGCATCTCATCAGGCCTGATGAAGTGCTATTCCTGGGTATCGAAACGTAGATGCATTGATGTACAGTTACATATGTTCGAATGTAATATCATATAATAAAGAAGTATATATATATATATATATATATATATATATATATATATATATTTATATATATTTTTGGTGATGTGCCTCAGTTGCACCCTATTGTTGTTACTAATATTGATTTTCGGGTGGGCTGACTTTAAACTTAAACTGCTCCAATCGAACGGTAAAAATTTCCAGTAATGACAGAATCGGTCGAAGATGGGTTATACTGCTAGTTGCTAATAATTCTGCTACAGAAGATTTGTTGTCAAAATGTTACCTCAGAAATGCATTATAAATGATTTTATTATAGATCGACTTGAAAACGAACGAAAAAAATGGATTGTCATTGGTCAGGAATTAATGCAATTGTTACTAATAAATTATTATCTGACACTTTACGAAATTGGAGGATTTTATGTCTTTAACGAATCTCTTTATTTTGAAGACACATAAAAAAAACTTGTCCAGGCCTAGATGCCCATATATAGGTCTGAACGTGACACAACTATATTTATATCTATCAGAGTAAAAAAATATCCGAGAAAGAAAGAAAACAAAATAAAACAAAAAAACTTCTTACCAGATGAGTCATGACCCCACCCTCTAATTTTCTTTTGTGATAGTGAGCAAATCTTTTGGGGAACGTAATGTTTTGAGTGTGAATAATTTTATTTTTTTTTTACTTATTTAATTCATCTTCATAATTTCTACTGTGTTTATCTTTCAGTTTATTTATTCACTTACTTTTTGTCTATTTAAGAAAAAAAAAAAATTCTGGTAGGTGTTTCCACCCTTTTTTTTCATAGTCGCCCACTCGTCTAGGTCAACAGTCGTCGTGAGATACACTTAAACCAACAACTGCCAAATACACTCGAGATCCCATCTTTCTCTTAGATGCCTTTTCATGGTGCCTTCAAGATAAACGAATAGACATCTGATTCAAATAATTTTTAGCAACGTTTTCAGAAATCTACGACAATTAATTATTTCAATATATATATATATATATATATATATATATATATATATATATTGTACTGAGGCAGCAGATCATTATTCAAACATATATTGTGAAATATAACAGACAAGGAATATCTATTATGTCTGATCATGAGCCGTTCTAATTTCTGTATATTTGCTTTAATTTCGGTAGAATATAAAGACAAAAAGGTTCAACATTTGGATATTTTTTTATTATGCTATTCCTTGATCTAAGGTTTCGGCTTACATGAGTCATCTTCAGAGTAGCTATACGGACATTTAAACAAAGATAGGTACCGCCACTTTTTCGGCATAAATTTTCGATACCTAAGATTTAAAATGAATTTTTAAAAATAAAAAGGCATTTTTGAAGATTTCATTTTAACTTTAATTGAAAACTAAAGGATTAAATTTATTATTTCCACTAAGTAAAATATTCTGATGTATTTCAGATAGAAATTATATAGATCGGAATGTCAAATTTAATTTCGATTTCTTAAAATTTTCTTAAAAGCGGCCATTTTCTTAATTTTAAGAAACTTTGTAAACAAAACAAATTTATCGATTTTAAAACGCTTCCATATATATATATATATATATATATATTTCTGACACGTTATTTGAGTAAAAGTAGAAAATTTAAAATTAAATTAATCTGATTTGAAATAAATATTACTTACTAAAAAAAAGTAATATACAACAATTCATTGTTTGTCTGAGACAATGATTGATGGACGATTGAGTGATGAAGCGATGACAGCTAGTATGGCTGACTAGAATTGACGTGTATTTATTAAATTTAAGTGAACGCATTTTTTGTTTTTTTTAACTACCTAGTAATTTTTACAAATGAACATATTTTCCGTAATTATCTAATAATTTATTGAATTTTATTTATCTTTCGAAGAAGCTTTATGCAAAAATAAAAAAATAAATTTAAGATACTATAAAATTTTCTTAAATTAATTTCTCTGTAAAGAAACAAAACTCTTAGATAACGTGACCTTTTCATAATAATGTCATGTTTAGCCTTTCATATATGAAACAAGGGAAGAATTTAAGTAAAAAAAAAATAAAATAAGAAATTATTTTTAATATATAATTTTGGTTTCGTAAATTTCGTTTACACTTAAATAGTTCAATACAGAATTTTACACGATTTTAAACTATTATAAATTATTATAATTAAAATTAAAAATAATGAAATAAATTCTTGTAAAAATTCATTATTCATCGGAAAAAAATTATTTCTTCAGACAATAATGTCCTTAATATAATTTATTTACAAAAACAATTAAAGACTTTCTAATTAAATAATGTCATAGTTTTACTGCATTCATTATTTTTCAATTCAGGGACGATTTTTAGTTAGAATAGTGCAAGTCTGAAAAAATTGGGTGATATACATTCTCCTATTTTAACGAATAAAAAAATCAAGTAATAGAAAGATTTTGTGCGAAATTCCATGAAAAGTGTGTGTGTGTGTGGGGTAACTTGTGTAAATAAAAAAAAATTGTCAGAAATGAAAAAAAAAATATAAAAAATAATTTCATTCATTAGTGAATAAGTCCTGAAAATTTCATTAAAATCGGAGAATTAATTGATTTTTACAAGAATATCTAAATCAATGTGTTTCAATTGAAAAAAGCGCAAAAAAGACGCGATGACGTAATCAAAAGATTCTAACCAAAAATTTCGAACATGTTAGATAGGATTTAAAAATTTCAAAAAATAATCAAAAAATACTTTGATCTTTCATCTTAATAATAACATAAAAATTTTGACGATAAAACTTTATTTTTGTTAAGTCTGTGGCCTTTTTCATTACGCTATGCTGTTTTCCGCGAAAAAGTGGAGGTACCTAAACAAAGATATTCACCATCAAAGATGAGATTCTGTTATGTTGTCCTAGAAGATTGCTATGCGACGATAATTGCATCTAAACATATGGTTCTGTTGTTAATATTTCATTTTCTCATGTGGTACGAAGTCATAGAACCTCATCATAAATTTACGACTTGCGTCTGCTATTCCACAATCATTATCGTCGAAAATAATAGACATTCGTTGTCTGTTATATTTAACAATATATGTTTGAATATATATATATATATATATATATATATATATATATATATATATATAAATTAACTGATTTCAAAATTAACTGATTCAAAAATATGGTTCTTTCGCTACACAGGAATTATCATGTTTCAAAAACCGAAGCTAAAAGCTTCAAATTTTATTATATAATTAATTTAAAACATTAGTTCTGTTTCATCCTCAAGCGAATTTTGGGATTCCAAAGTTTTGGAATCCAAAGTTTAGGAATTCAAAAATTGGATTTTTTGGGGGGAATTCCAAAGTTTTGGAATCTAAAATTTGCTTGAAGATGAAAGAGAAATAATGCTTTTAATTTAATTATATAATTGAAATAATGAAAGAGAAGCGATAGGCTTACAACGTTTTGTTTGTGGTAAGCGGGTTGTAGGGTTGAAAATAATTCATCACCCACAAGGGTGTGCAAATTATTTGACCTCTGTCAAAGATGGAAAGTGAAAATTGGGCAGCTCCATCTCAGATATTGCCGCATTCGATCGTAATAGCTGGCGTTATACATTCATCATGCATCTTTTAAGCCTATTGACAAGGTACCTATCATCATACATCTTTTAAGCCTATTGACAAGGTACCTATCGTTATTATTTTTTAAGGCTTTCGGTTTATTATTTTTTTAGCGGCCATTTTTAAATGTTACAACGCGTCTTAAATATACACTACATCAGATCTTATTATGGAAACCAATATTTTCATAGTGAAATTGGTATTAACCAACCGACATTGGTACGATATTCTGGATATATTTTTTTTTTATTGATATGAATAATATATCAGTGGAGTTTTTTTTATTATGTCTATCCTGATTGAAAATATTAATAATGACTTCTTTTAGTGGTGTCAGTTTTTATTATGGAAATAAATTAAATTCAAAATAGAGTTTTATTTATAAATATTAGGTAGCGTCATAAATAATTTCTGTTCTTTTTTTATCAACGATTTGTTCTTTTCGCTAAGAGCGTTCAGAATTCCGACGTCGGGATTGCTAACTTTCCACATCTTTTCTGAGTGTTGATATATGATATCTATCTGTATTTCTGAGATGAGGTATTATGTACATTATTTACATTATTCGGACTATTGTCCTCATCTTTGTCGCCATATTTATTACAACCTTTCAGCCGCTGTCCGCGCCGGCCTTCTTCAGGTGGTTGGAATGTCGAACTGAACCCTTTATTTCGCTCACTGGGGTAGACTGTTCTAGTTCCACGTGCCATGTTTAATGGATGTCGGTTATCTCCTGTTAATTTCCCTCTGAAAGTTCTCCACTCCCTTAACCGGGTATTGAAATCACACTCTTTGGGTCCTGTCACTGGATCTAACTAGCGCCTAGTTGCAATATGAGCACTGGTAAAAAGGTTGCTGAAGAAATTAGGTTTATAATACCCAGAACTTCATACACAAGGACACATGGCACAGTGGATAAAGGCGTTGATGTCTTCTAACTTGAAATGACCGTCCTGGTCATTCATTTCAGTTTAAGATTCCCTAAGCGCAGCGATGCTGGTTCACCACCGCACTTGCTGCTTACATAGCTATGAAACCCAGTGTTAACCCTACAAGAAGGTTAATTCGCCCTTTAGCTAATCTTGTTTAATCTCGCTGGAAGTTATATTTATCAGCTAAGGAACCAATCATGCAGCAGATTTTATGGTGCTACATGGGGACCAGTAACATTCGTAGAGAGACCTGACATAAAAAAAACCCTTACCTTTGTGAAATTAAAATAATAATCCTCTTCAATTATCTTCAAAACAAAATTAAAAGAATCTATAATTTCAAGGCTTACGGCCATGTAGCGTTGAAACATCGGTTCCAGTACGATCACTGAAGTTAAGCAACGTCGAGCCTGGTCAGTACCTAGATGGTGACCATTTGGGAATAAAAGTTGCTGTAACCTTGGATGTGTAGATGGTGCAATGGATAATAACTAGGAAGTATTAATAAGAGAGCCGAATTCTCGTACGATCACTGAAGTTAAGCAACGCCGAACCCGGTCAGTAACTAGATTGGTGACCGTTTGGGAATACCAGGTGCTGTAACCTTGGATGTGTAGATGGTGCAATGGATAATGACTAGGAAGTGTTAATCGGAGAGCCGAATTCTCGTACGATCACTGAAGTTAAGCAACGTCGAGCCCGGTCAGTAACTAGATTGGTGACCGTTTGGGAATATCAGGTGCTGTAAT